CCCCCCCTGCCACAGGCTTGGTTCGGGTCCCGCCGGTCACCCTCACCTATGAGACCCACACTGGCTGCCAGGTCGTAGTAGTAGGAGAAAGCGTAGAAGTCCACGTGCCCTGCCTCTTCGGCCCTGTGCACCTTGTTTCGGAGGACTTCAGATACCCTGCTGGCACACAGCTCGTGGAGGAGGCCTGCAGGAGGGAGCACGTGCATGAACACAGGCGGACCAGCGCCATAGACCCACTGCTCACGGGGCTTCCAGAGCCAGGGTGCCTGCAAGCAGTTGGCAGGGGGAGAAGCCCAGCATGGTGTCTGGGGCAGACCAGGCTGATGTGGATGTCAGCTGCCACCCCAGCAGCAGCCCTGCTTCTTCCTGGGTCACAGACAAGAAAACAGAGCCACCATGTGGCTGGAGACTGGGCACGGGCCCAGAGGTTAACAGGATGCAAGGACCACGCGATTGCTGTGAACACAGGAGGCTCTGCCCAGCCTTGTTCAGTCGGTCAGACATTCTGGTTCTTCCCAGGGCTGCTCAGGCCAGTGACACACCCACCTGGACCCCAGTGCCGCCTGCTACTGCCACAAGGCCTGGCATGGGCTTCTCTGGACTTGAGGAACCCCTGGGCAGCTATCTGGCTCTGCTCCTCAATGCCTGGCCACAGCCATTACCCATGGGCTCCCTCTTCCAGGGTGACACCTTAGCCCCTCAGTGCCCTCCCTATACTTTCTCACGTGTCGCTGTCATACTCCCTGCTGTCTTGCCAAGGCCCTTGGTCAGAGGGAGCCACCTGGTTCCTGGAGGTGGACATGCCTTGTGCTGTGTATCCAGCCTGGGCACCACACCTTGATCCTCCTGGGGAGGAAACCCAGAGGGTCACATGGTCCAGCAGGGTTAGGCAGAGGGCTGGGCAGCAGCTGTGCTGGGAACAGTGGCACCCTTCCTGCGTGAGCCTGGCCTCCCATTGCAGCTAGGCTATGGCTGTAGGCCCTACAGTGCCAGGTTATCAGGGCCATCCCACAGGAGCCCATGGCCTGTGGAGGGGAAGTGGCAGGCAGCAGCTCCAGCCCAGGGCTCTGACCAGCAAGTGTAGGTTATGCGTGCTGTCACTGCCTGATAAGTGCATGGAAAGGCACAGGGGGTGGTGGGATGCTGTGCTGACCCTTGTGGGCCACAGATGGGCAGTGACATACACACCTGCCTTCTGTCCTGAGATCTGGTACATTATTTCCGCATGTTCCCACTGGCCTCTGAACCCAGGAGACAGACAAGGGCTGACCAACTCCTTCCCGTCCTTGGCTGAAAGAGAGACAAGGATGAAAGAAGGAAGGGAGGGAGAAAGGAAAACCAATGCCACTGTTAGCCAGGGACTTCCCTAGAGCTGAGAGCGGCTGTGGTGGAGAACAAAGGTGCTGGGCACGAGGAAACACATTCCCTGATGGTGACAGAGGGATCTGATTCTGGGGACAGTCCAGGCCCAGGGAAGAACCTACCCTGGGCCTGGAGTAGTGTAGCCTCCTCTGCCTGGAAACACTGCCATGAGACTGTTCATGGCTTATGTCCCTAGGGGTAACCCTGTGGAGGCATTGTTACCCAGCTTCACAGTGGCGAGTGACCAGCGGACTGGTGACAGGGCCAGTCAAGTGCCACCAGATGCCACCATACTACAAACTGTGTTGCTCAGAGCGCCAAAGTGGGGGCCACAGCCAGAACAGGAAGCTGGCTCTGCACACTACTCATGGAAGCCCTGCAGCGTTGCTCTTGATCCCTCTGGCCAGGTCTACAGTGAGCAGGAAGTGGGTGGAGGTCAGGCTGGGGCACCAAGTGGCATGGAGACACAGGTGCCTCCTCCTCCCTCCTGCCCCTGGGGCAAGGGCTGACATGTCCTGCTTCTTGTTGAGAGAAGCTATCAGGAACTTGAAGGAGCTAAACATGTGCCAGGTGAATGTTCCCATATCAGCAGGATGCCAACCCTAGAGGGGTCAGAGGGCAGAGGCAGCTGGGGACTTGCTGGGCTCTGGGTGTCTCACACACTGTCCAGACTTGTCAGCGCCCACAGAAAAGCCAGCCCATGCCAGGTGTGGACATAAGGCCTTGGCTCAGTGCAGGGCACCAAGGGTCTGGTGTGAGGCTGCCTTCCAGGGCCCTCACAGCTCCCCAAATCTCATGCCCAGAAGCAGCCAAGCCTGCTGTATGACCTTTCACAGAGCAGACAAGGACAGAAGGGGGCTGTCACAGGCTCCTCTGTACAGCAACAGCCTCCAGGTCACCACCTCACAAACCTCCTGCTGCAGAAGGACCAAGTTCTCTTCAGGTTGCTATGGTTAACTTAAGCTAACTTAAGGCCTATGTAAAGTTTGGTTCCCAGCCTGCAGTAGAATTGGGAAGGCCTACTGGGAGGAAGTTAGGTAGGTCACTGGGCATGTGCCATCAGAGGGGACAGCATGACTCTGGCCCCTGCCTCTCAATGCTTGCCAGCTGCCACATGTCATGTACTGCCTGGCCACAGTCCCTAAGCAGCAGGGCCAACAGGCCATAGGTAGAAAATTCCAGAGTTGGGCACTGAAACAAGCCTTTCCTCCTTGTAAGCTGATGCCTCAGGGATTCTTTCAGTGACAGGCAGCTGAATATCATGCAAGGTGGCTCCCAAGGTAGGGGATGACTGCACAGTTACTTGGGTTCCTTTAAAGTCTCTTTCAGAAGTTACTTTATTTATTTATTTATTTATTTATTCTTTTCCTTTTGCGGTACTGGGATCAAACTCGGGACCTTGCGCTTGCGAGCCAGGTGCCAGAACCTCTGAGCTAAATCCCCAGCAGTTTTTTTTTTAACAGTGTCTTTTTCTAAAAATTCAGAATGTACAGGGTATGATTGAAAAGTATGGTAAATGTATACATTTAAAAATTTTATTACAATAAAGACACAATGCCACTAACCCTCTTTAATTTTTCCCTCTAGCTTTGAACACATTCATTCTATTGTCCTTGCCACTTTCTGCAGCAGTTCTGGAGTCTTCTTTCTTGAGTATCTTCAGTTGCCCCATCCTGGCTACTTAGTCATCCTGAATCAATTCAAAATGTTTAGCTTTTGTGATCATTTTGATTTTGGGAAGAGCCAGAAGTTACATGATGCCAGACCCAGTGAATAAGGTGGATGCTTTTATAAGCCTGAATTTCTGCTGCACAGCATTTGGAATCAGCAAAGTATTTTTTTATCATACCTCATAAAGACACCTGGGAAAGAATTCTCCAGAACTTCTCCGGGAAGTGGCAAGAACAACAGGACAAGTGTGTTCATAGGGAGGGGAGTATTCTGAAGGGGATCAGCAGCCTGTGCCTTTACTGTAACACTTACTTAAAATTTAAATGTTGCCAGGTGTGGTTGTGGGTGCCTATAGTCCCAACACTCGAGAGGCTGAAACAGGAGGAGTGCACAAACTCAAAGCCAGCCTGAACTACACATGAGTTCAAGACCGACCTGAACTACATAGTGAGATCCTGTCTAAAAAAAAATTAATTAAAATGTTAACCGTATTTTCATCACACCTCATATGGAGGTAAAACAGCCTCCTCTGTCCCTCCTGGGTCAGTCCCACATCATGGCGAGTAGGGACAGAAGGCAGGCGGTTCCTCCCTCTCACTGAGGGCAGGCAGAGCCCTAAGCAGCATATTCTACTCACCGGGTCTCCCCTCCACGCCACCCAGGATCGCCAGCCGCGCTGACATCAGTCCCAGCCCCAGGTAGCTGTGGAGACAATGCCCACCCAGGTGAGGCATGGGGATGGCTGGGCCTCCATTTGCTATATAAAGTGGTGCCACCCTGGGAGGATGCTACAGCTTTCCTGCTCTTTTTTTTTTTGAACTTGAGTCCTTGTGCTTGCAAGGCAGGCGCCAGAACTACTGAGCTAAATCCCCAGCCCTTTCCTGCTCTTATGAGGAGTCTCTGAAGCACATGGGACTTCACTGAACAGCTCACGCAGGAGCTATGACACTGCCAGGACCCCAGTTTTCATGGGGCACAAAAGGAACAGACTGAAGATGACACATGGCAGGCACGTGGCTCAGAAACTGCACACCCTGAGCTCCTGCATTTCACCCAAGCCTTCTCCAAAAAGTAACAGAGTGAGGGGGAGGGCTTCCAGGATCTGTCTAGGCCCATGTATAGGGTACTGAAGGAGGCAGAAGCAGGCTTGTCAAGGGGCTGTGACCTCCCTGACCCTGGAAACCAACCTGTGGGAATACAGCCTGTAGGTCCTGTTAAACATCTGCAGTGACGTCAGGTGGCCAGGGGGGGAGGCCTCGAGGGTGCCCTACGGAGACACCAGATTAATGTCCTGATGTCAGAATCCCCACCTCCTTGGGACATTCAGACAGAGACAAGTACAGAGCTTTTCTTTAAATTCCATGCTCTGGAAGAATGGAGAGCAAGCCAGGGAAGATAAAGCACCCATAGCATTCCCTTGCCAACAGCACCATACCCACCCTGACTGGGGTTCAGCCAGGGTCACCAAGCTCTGCCCCAGAGATGACAAGAAACAAGGGCAGCAAGGAGGGAGTGTTTCCTCTCCTCTGGGACCTGCATCCAGGACAGTGAGGACTCCCTGGCACTTTGCAGGGTGCAGGGGCATCTGGTTATTACCTGGCTTATGGTCCCACTACAGATCAGATTTCTGTTATGGTTTGTTTTCCAGGCAGGAGCTACCTGTAAGCGCCATCACCCTCCGTCCACTGCCCAGGGGCTGCCAGGGCCAGTTACCTCAGCCCGTGGAAGGAAGGTGATCTGAGTAGATCCGCCGCCCAGATCCAGCATGCCCACGCTGCTCCTACCTGGGCCTCGCAAGCTGCCTGGACAGTGGGAAGACAACACTGGTAGTGAGGAAGGAGGACAGGAAGGCAGAGGGAGGCGAAAAGCTGACTTCAATGGACAGAAAAACAAGAGAACCAGCTCCACTGTTTACACATGTTCACGGAAAGGTGCCCAGTGTCTGTGGGAAGATCAGGTGGCATCAGCCATGGCTTTAATGAGGGCAGAATGATACTGACTGTCTGAGATGTTGGACTGGTCCTGCCCGCTGAGGAGGAGGCTGTAGCCTCAGCCCCATGAGTTGCCGCCTTCTTGTCTTCATCTCCATCTTCCCAGAAGCACTGAGGTAGGGGTTCCTTGCCTATCCCCTAGGATCTCTCTCCATCCCCTAAAGGACATATCCTGCCAAGAACCCACTCATATACTACGTCAAACACAGCCTTTCCCTAATTCCAGTAAAGGGATGCATGCAGACAACAGTATTTGAAAAAGAGCTCCTCTTGGCCAGTTTTCCAGGACAGATATTTCTGTAGTGGGCAAGTGGCAGGCATTTACACTGGGTATCTATAGAGCTCAGTGTCTTCAGGCACAAGAGGGAGTGAAGCAGCCCAGGTGGGGGGAGTCCTCCATGAACCCCTGTGAGCTTGTGACTGCCACTGAGCCCGCTGTCCCCATGCTTTCCTCTGGCCTGTGAACCCTGAGGGTTATGGACACACGGCAGGGTGTTACCTTTGGGGTTAAGTGACACGTACCTGTCAGGAAGTTGACAGTGATCCACGCAGACACACCTGCAAGAGAGTGGCACAGGAGGGTCATCGTCACCCAGAACTATCCACGCAGCTCCCAGGACATGTGTCTCTCTCTTCGGGCCTCTCACCACCACTCCCAGACTCCACACCACCCAGAGAAGTGCTGGGCAGGAAACAGTCCAGCAGCTTCTGGTAGACTATTCTAATATCACACTAAAACCTGAACACTTTACTAAAGGCCATGTCTCCCTGCAGTTCTGCATACCAGATTCCTCTTCTGGAAGAGAACCTATGCTCTCCCTGCCCCATACAAACTCTTTTTGTTTTTGAGACAGTCTCACTCTGTAATTCAGGCTGGCCTTGAACTCACTATGTAGCCCAGGGTGGCCTCGAACTTACGGTAATCCTCCTGCCTCAGCCTCCCAAGCGCTGTGGTTACAGGCATGTACCATTGCACCTGGCTTTACAAACTCACTCTTAGAGTTACAATTAAAAGCATGGGCCAGTCTTAGAATCAGCAATGCAGCTGCAATGCTCTAAATGCAGCAGCAATTGGGGTTCTCTCTATAGGCTCTTCAAATTCAGTGTTTTCAGAGACTTCATCTGTGTTGTGTCTGGAGTTAGCCCAGATGAGAATCTGTCTCTAATGCTGGTGCTGAAAAGGCCCTCTGGGACACTTGTGCTGTGAACAGACTGCAAGCTCAATCACCCATCTTCAACCAAAGAGGAAGCCCTGTGCACCAATTCTAAGTGGTGGTGGCGGCAGCGGCAGCAGCAGCAGTGCATGGGGCGTCTCCAGGGCCACATGTGGGGGTGCTTCCAGCCACTCTACCTTCATCAGTTCCGTTCATGATGGAAACACAGTCGTCCCCTACCAGGAAAGGTGACGCCTTAAACACCTCCTTCACCTGCATGCAGAGAAATGTCTTCACCTTCTGGAAAGGGAGGCCAGCAGTTTCCAGGCAACAGAACAGCAAGAGACCACCTGTCCCCAGAGGCAATGCTCACTCTCAACTTAAGCTATCCAGGCCTCAACAAGGAGCTTCTTCAGCTGTGTTGAGGGCCAGCTCAGGAACATGCCACCCTGGAGACCCTCCTGGCCTGCTGTGGGGAGTCTGTGGGCTGTGGAAGTGGGGTGCACTCGCTCCCAAAGTTCTGCCCAGCTTTTCGATGTGAGATGAAGTGTGAGAAGCTCCACAGCAGAGCTGAGCCTGGGGATCTGGTGGGTGCCCTCCAGGGACATGGTCAGTTTGTCCCAGCACTAAGAAACTTCAGTTCCTTTGCCCCACCCCATGTCCCATGCCTCAGTGGGGGACCCTGATGGACAAGCACGTGCTGTCCTTTCATAGGAGAACAGGACAGGAGGGACGCAGGGACAGAGGAGCACAGGTTGGGAGACAAGGCCAAGGGGCCTCTTGGGTAACCACAGGGTTTTTTTTCTAGACAGAGTCTCACTATGTAGTTCAGGCTGGCCATGAACTCACTATGTAGCTGAGGCTGGTTTCAAACTTGGGGCAATCCTGTCTCAGCCTCCTGAATGTTGGGATTACAGGCATGTACCATTCGGCCTTGGGAAGCCACATCTGAATGTCTGACAGAAGCAGGACTCTTGTCCCACTGAGAACAGAGAAGCTTAGTGTCCACAGCCCTCATCCACATCGAGTCCTAGGGGAGGGTGCCCTTCAAATGCACAGTGCACTTTTAAATAAAGTTGTTTTTCTTCTGTAACATAGACTCCCTCAGGAAAACACGCATAGCCTTAAACGTCAGGGAGATGATGCCCGGAGGTGACACTGAGCGCGTGGTGGCACCTGTCATTCTGCCTGCCTGACACCCCTTAGGGGCAGTGCCCACCATGCAGGAGCCCCCTCCATGCTGAGCCCACCTTCTGCAGCAGCTTCTGAGCCTTTTCCCCAGGTAACAGGCGCAAGCCAGCAGTGGCCTTGAGGACGAGCGGCGTGGCCTTCCAGAAGTCAAATGGAATCTCCTTCTTAGCAACATCCAGCAGTTCCTGGATTCCCTGAGCGCTCTGTGGATGTGTGACAGCAAAGCAGGACCTGTCACACCCAGCATCCGGGGTCACAATGCTACCCTGATCTTATAATTTTCCTGTTATATTTAAAATTAGGAGAGGACAGGGACAGTGTGTGAGGCAGAGGGACCAGGTGAACATGGCACCGTGGGGACAGAATGCAGCAGGGTGAGGGAAGGTCAGGGCCACAAGGCTGAGCCCCCTTTACGGCAGCTTTCGTGCCTTCTTGGGTGACACTGCCCTGCCATCACCAGGCCCCACCAGGCAGCCTCAGACAGATCTGGACTCCCTGATGACATGAGGCTGTTGCAACCAGCACAGTCTAGATTCCCTACTGAACTCCATCCCATGAGCAACTATGCTGAGGAACCACATCACTGCCAGGCACTGAAGACCCTGGGGCTGGACAGGGCTGGTGTCAGTGCCAGGACGGGGTAGAGATGGCTCAGGGGAGTATGGGTTCTGAACAGTGGTTCTGCAGTGCTGGGGATGGAACCCTTTGCCTTCTCCACAAAGCATGAACTCTACCCTTGAGATGCACTCCTAAACCCCAGAATATAATGCCTTTTAACTTTACTTAGGTTTTAGTGAGTGTTTATTATCTTCAAAGTACCCACAGCAAAAAATCTAAAGTTAAAAATATACTACAGGGCTAAGAGTGTAGTTCAGCAGTAAAGCACTTGCCCAGCACGCAGGGAACCCTCAGGTTCAATTCCCAGCACATTAAAAAAAAAAAAAAAAGTATTATGCAAAACCTGTAAGATTAGTGTGAAAACATTAACTAAATTTCCAAGGAACATACATTGTAGGTTTGCAGTACTTGTACTTCTGAGCTGCAATGAGCCTCTAGTGGGCCTGCACGGGGGTGCACAGGAGGCTGGAACAGATCTGCTCACCCCCACCCCAACGGTGCTCAAGGGCCCTACACCCCAGGCAGCACAACAGGGACGCTTTCTTCTGCCTGCCACACCCACATGGAAGGAGCTGACTTTAACCAATTACACAGACAGGGTGAAGAGGGTCAAGCAGAGGCTTTTACCTTATCGACATCATCTGCATAAGCAGAAAGCCCTGGCTTCAGTGCTCTGAAAGTCTCATGGGTCAAGGTAGGAGTCTCTAAGGGAAAAGAAAACACTTTTTTAAAGGTTCATGTTATGGCTTGTATCCATGTGCCCCCCCCCAAAGCCTTATGCAGTCAGAGGTGGGAATTTTTCAGAGGTGGCTGGACCTAGAGTGTGATTCTGGGTTAAGGGTGTGTGATTACTGAATCACGCCATTGATTTGCTTGGCATAGCTCTGGGTGTGAGCGCTACCTGCTCTTAGGGGAATAAAAGCAATAGAAACTGCTATTATTGCTTGTTACTTACTGCATATTGCTGCTGCTATCTTCTGCTCTATGATGCCTCTCTGCCATGCCACCCTGTCTTGGAACCAGCAGATTATAGATTGAAACCTCTATAAACTATTAAGACAAATAGACTTTTCCTCCTTTAACTCTGCATGTCAAGTATTTTGTCTCAGCAGCAGCAAAAGTAACTAAGACAGTTCATCTAGCAAAACAGACATAAACATGTGAATATATATAACTGCGACTAGCCAGACTTCTTTTGGTACCAGGGCCTTTCCACTGAGCTATGTCTTTAGCTCTTTTCAATTTTTAAAGACAGGGTCTTGCTAAGTTTCCTAGGTAGGACTTAAACTTGTGTTCCTCCTGCCTCATCTTTCCAAGTGCTAGGATTACAGGCATGTGTCACCATGTCCACGGAGCCAGACTTTTTAAAGGCTGCTGCCTGACTACACGGACCAATCCCAGAATGACCCTTTAGCCCTTCTTGCCTACATTTGCCTCCTTAGTTTAGCTGAACAAGATTAGCGATCCCTCGTGTGGGCCAGAACTTTGCTTTAACATATAGGGTGTGGCTCAGTGTGAGGCTCTACATTTGGTCCTTGGTGCTCTGCCACCCACCCCAGAAATCAGCTTTTATTGATTTATTGATTGGGGGGGGTTGTTCCTTAGTTTAGCTGAACAAGATTAGCGATCCCTCGTGTGGGCCAGAACTTTGCTTTAACATATAGGGTGTGGCTCAGTGTGAGGCTCTACATTTGGTCCTTGGTGCTCTGCCACCCACCCCAGAAATCAGCTTTTATTGATTTATTGATTGGGGGGGGGGTTGAGACAGGGTCTCACTATGTAGTTGAGACTGACCTGGAACTCACTATGTAGCCCAGGCTGATCTCGAACTCATAGCGATCCTCCTGCCTTAGCCTCCTGAGTGCTGGGATTACAGGCATGCGCCACCATGCCCAGCTTATTGATTTATTTTTTGAGACAGGATCTCACTATGCAGTTCAGACTGGCCTTGAACTCACTATGTAGTCCAGGCCTTGAACTCTCACCAATCCTCCTGCCTCAGCCCCCCAGGTACTGTGATTATAGGCAGGCACCACCACGCCTAGCAAGAGATGCAGATTTTTGAAGGTACATTATCCTAAATAAACTCTTGATTTTTTTTTTTAAAGCAAAGTTCTGGTCAAGCATAAAAATATACAACAAAATTAAAAGTAAACAAAACATGCTACAATAGCTTTAGAGAGAGGTGCTCTGAAGTGTCTGGTTGGGACTGGCATGATATCTATGCACAGCCCAAACCCTGGAGAGGAAGTACCCAGGGGTGCTGGTCTCACTGCACAGGGACATGGCCAGGCCAGGGACATTGTGGAGGGCAAAACACTGGGAGAGACAGTAGAGGTGGCTACTGAAGGCTCTGTACAGGGGAAGCCTGTGCCTGCCTGCCTCGGCCTACCTGGGAAGCACAGCTTACGTCCTTCTGCTGAGGTCCCTCTCGACCATCATCCCTGGCTGTCTGGACCCACAGTGCCAGTTCCTCACGTGATTCCTGTTACTTCCTGTCTTAAACTCCCAACATGATCCTTGGCCTCTGTCACAGTCACAGTCATCTACCCTCCCAGTGATCATGGGGAGGGGAAAGGGCAACAATGTCCTCAAGGGTCTCAGGTGCTCTCCGTGGCAGATTCTAACATAATCTGGGCTCCTGGAGACTGCAGGAGTGTGGATACCAATACTGACTCAGCATCTCTCCACAGCGGCTCTATCTACGTTTTTCTTTCTCTATTTTTTGTCTCTAGACCTCAAAACTGGGACCTTGAACCAAGTGCTCCCCCTGTTAAGCCACATCCTAGCCCTTGACAGCTGCACGTTGATCAGCTGCCAGGGGAGTCCAGGCAGGGCTCAGCCCACACTGTCTTTTGCAGTAAAGTACCGTATGGGTCCTGTGAGAAGGGAGAGGGCAGACCTGATGTGTGGAAACAGAGGGGCTTGTGGTCAGGACAGGGTACCTCCAGGTAGCTGGGCAAACTGGAAGACGTGCACACGAGTACCAGTGCTCCCGGCATCAAACATGATTCCGTAGAAGACTTCATGAGCACGAGCAGCTGACCCCACGGAGGTGTGGGCTGGTCCAGTGATGGAGGAGAGGGCCTGGGGGGTGGAGACCCGGTGCCACTTGATATAGGCCACGTAGATGAACAGGCCCACGCACAGCCCCAGGGGGTACACCGCTTTCGTCATCCGCAGAGCCCCATGACTGGGTATTTTTCTCATTTCTTAGTGTGCCCAGAACTGTGCCGCAGCTGCTGGAGGAAACGCAAGAAAATTATGTTAGGCTGAGAGGTTCAGTGTGCATCCAAAGTCACCAGGCCCAGGAATAAAATGTTCAACTGGAAACTGGGCTGCATTTCTCTCCTGAGTCAGAGGCTTCGTTTAATCCTGCACATGATCCTGGAAGCAGTGGTAGGAGTTGAGGGTTGTAACACTGGGTAATCTGTCCACGCTTGTAGAACAGACCATAGCTGATAAACTGGCAAGGATTTCTTTGATAGGACACCAAAACACAGGTAATGAAAGCAAAAATGCACCAGCGGAATCAAAAAGCTTTTGCTGCACAAAGGAAACAACCAACAAAATCAAAAGGCAACTTACAAAATGGGAGAAAATATTTTCAAACTATGTATCTGCACTGGTAAGGAATAAATATTCATAAAGAATTCAAACTGAACAATACCAAAACACAACCTGATAAAAAAACTGGCAAATGCATGAGTTCTTGGGTTCTTGGGTCTCAGGACTCCACACAACGAAAGGGGAAATAAATTTCTCCAAAGATGTGCAGATGGCCAAGAAGCATAAGAAAGGATGCTTCAACATCACTACTCACTAGAGAAGTGCAAAACCATAATGTGATTCACTCACACCCATTAGCATGGCTACTACCAAAAGCAACACCACCACCATCCAGAATATAACACATGTGGGTGAGCACACAGGAAAAGTCTACTTGTAAAAGTGCAGCCACTATGAAAAACTGCAGCTTCCCCCCTCCCCACCCCCCCAAAACCAGAATGGCTACGTATCACTGCAATCCTGTGGGTATGCAGTATATCCAAAGGAAGTGAAATAGCATTTCTAAAGCTATGTGCTTGCATTCCCCATTCACTGAAGCATTGTTCACAAAACCCTAGAGGTAGCAGCAATACCGATGTCTGAAGACATGTGACTGGATAAGAAAGCACGGTCTATTCCTACAATGGAACACTATCTGGTCTTAAAGAGAAAGGGGTTGGGGACAGAGTTCAGTGGTAGAGTTGGAACTTAGCATATTTAAGGCCCTGGGGTCAAAAAAGTAAAATAAAAATGAAAAGAAAGGAAACTGTGACATAGGCTACAACACAACGGACCTGGAAGGTATTCTTTTCCATGAAATGAGCCAGCCTCAAATGGACCAACAAACAAGACCACCTGGAGCAGAGGTGCAAGGGCTGAGGAGGACAGGGCAGAAGGACTGTGTATGGTCTCCAGCTGGGAAGTGCTCTGGTGTGCATGGCAGTGATGTCTGCACAGCAACTGTATGTACTGCACCAATAACTGCACACTTGGGAGTGGCTGAGACAACAAATTTTATGTTAAGTATATTTTATCACAACAGATCCTTCACGGATGAAGCCAGGCAGGGAACCCAGATGACTTCTATGGATAGAGGACAAAGGCAGTGGGGATGGGATGCAGATCCCTCAAATTCAAACTCTTAACGTCCTAGTCACTCTCACCTCAATGAAGATAACAGCCTCTGCCTTAGCAGGGTTCTCACCTTAAGTGATTTTTAAGGCTTTTTGTTTGTTTGTTTTTACCACCCTGCTCTTTGGTCCCTTCTTCACACTCCTGCAAGCTCCGGCCAACCTAAGCCCCTCCCTTAGGATGGTGGTGTTCTACAGGCACCACCTCCTTGGTAAATGACCTGTGCGGCTGTGTGTGGGGACCTCTTTCCCCGGGTTAGAAGGTACCTCTCTGGGGGAAGGGGCAGCCCCCTCAATCCTGGAAATCCAGTATCTACATGGGAGATTGCACTTGCCTACCCAGAGCGCAGCCACCCGCCCAGCAGAACAGGAAGAGGCACTGCTGGTGCTCCAGCACCTGGGTGATGGCCACTGGGGAGGGGCTGTTGGCAGGAGGCACAGTGAGCAGGGCTCCTCCATGTCGAGCATGACACAACAACAGGACATCAGTCAGCGTGGGACTGATCCTTGTGGGAGATGTCAGGCTGGAAGGCAGTGTCCGGGAATGTCTGTACTAAGCAATGTTAGCTGAGATCAAGAGAGACACACAGTGCAGCAAATGCTCATCCTGAGGCAGCTGTTATCAGCTGTATCTACAGCTGCCTCTCTCTCTCAAGCCACCCCTCCCAGGTTACAATGACCCAACCTTCAAATATGCTCATTAAAAGTGGACCTAGGAGGGGGTGAAGGGAGAGCAGGGACAAGGGGGAAAAACGAGGACCAAGACCTTTCATGTAAAGGTACAAGATCCCAATGATGAATGTAACTGCACTGTATACCTAAAATGTACCAATAAACTCAATGAGAAAAAAAATTTAAAAAAAAAAGGTGGACCTGATATTTACAGAGAAAGTTCTGAAGCAGTTAACTCCAGGGATGGTGAGGACACAAAGCAATACTGACACCTTATAGCCATGAGAGTGCATTATAAAATCTGCTGCACAAACAAGTTTCATCCTGCCCGTGCCAGGCTAAGTACTGTGTGCCACAGGAGCAGACTGGCGGTGTCTACCAGCTCTCAGGCAAGACTGGCTCTCTGTTAAATATCTCTACCCACTAAAAATCCCAGATGTGCTGTCTCCTATCAGGAACCCACAGGTCGGTCATTGCCTGGTGTTCAGGACATTCAGGCCCTGGAGTGCCTGGAATGGATGCATCTGGAACTGTGCAGTGGCATGTGGCAGGGCGGATGAATCCTCGACTTCTGCCTCTAAAATGATGGTGCTCTGTCCCTTCATATTCCCTAGAAATACATGACAGTTTAGACAACACCCACAGGAACTTGTATTATTCCTGGAGTTATACAACGTCAAGGGCTGGTCGACAACAGTCCACAGAACACTCAGAATGAGGAAGTGCAGACAAAAACAGTCAGGCTCTCACCAAGGCCCAATGGGCACACCAATTTCACTCCAGAGTAAAGGGATTCCTCACAGTCAAGATACCTGAAGGAGGCCAAGTCACACTTCTGTGGGCCCTGGGGGCACTCAGTGAGGATCAGACCCTCCCGAGACTTGGTGAAAATAACTCAGGTGCAGTGTTCTTTACTGCAGCGAGGAGTGAGGCTGTAGGCAAGAGGCCAGGCAGGAAGTGAGTGTGGGTTTGCAAACAGAGTTTTGGCTCTGGCCAGGGCCACCTTGTCAGGTGGGGCAAGAGTAAGAGGAAAGCTGCATGCTCCTGGCCTGAACTTACTAGCTTTCTAAGAGCTGGGATGCAGGGGCTGTCAGAGACACATGCTCCAGCTCATTCTGACTGGTGCTGCCCACTGTGCTGGCCAGTTTCTTTCAGGTTTTCAGTTAAAGTGTAGGAAAGGGCAGTAATGACAAATGACTACCACATATACCAAAAATGTGTCCAAAATTAAAGCACATTAGAAAACCTACACTCCTTCTCCTGAAAGATGTTAAAGACTTTTCTTGGCAAAAACCCATTCTGGATCAGCCCTGTCAACACCACCTGTTCTCTTCTTTCTTGGGATGACTGGGAGGGAAGGCATGTCCAGGGATCCCTGCAAGAACAGCTCCCTGCCTGTCAGGTTCCACACAAGGCTCCAGGAGGCAGAGCAACACACACCCTATCAGCCACCTGACTGCAGGGGAGGAACAGAGGGACATAAGCAGTTCTGGGCTTGTAACAGTACGGTTGCTGGAATGAACAGTATGGCTTCTTTTCCAAGAATGCAAACACTGTTAATAGTGACACCATTCTGTCTCTTCCCAAAATGCTCCTCCTCGGCACAGTGACACAGTGAACGGAGGGACAGCCCTATAAGGCATTCAGCACCCAGCTCTCCCCAAAGCTGCTGTTTACAGAGGTCTGAGAGTCTGCCACCGATAGATCTGGGCCAGAGGAGCCCTGCATCCTGTAGCACGAGGGTGTGTGGCTCAGCACGGACATCTTGGGACACAGGTGCCTGGACACCTGGGACTTACCGTGGTCGTCTGCAGAGGCTGATCCCAGGGCAAGGCACTGGGCCTAGCGTGACCCACCCAGTAATGCAAGCTTTCTCCCCAACCCTACTGCCATCCCATGGCTTCCGGAGATAAAACTTCTTTTCTCTGGACCCGTCTGTCCCTGGCGCCCATTCTTCCAGCTGCGAAAGCATTCCAAGGAACGAATCCTCTCGGGTCCACTCCGTCCACCTCGGCCCGGGTCAGCTCAGGCGGAAGCACCACCCCCTCGTACTCTTCTGTCACCACCCCAGCCCAGAATGAATTGGCCCAGTCGTCAGCCCTAGGGGCGCAGAGGCTTTCCCTGTCAGGCTGAGCTCCAGGAGGGCGGCCCGCAGTCCCACCCCTCCTGGGCGGGTCAGCAGCGCCAGCTGAATGAATGAATGAGTGCGCGAATGAAGGAGCGAATGGGAGGGACGCCGGGAGGTGGAGCCCGACGTCCACGGAGGCCCGTCGCAGCCGAGTGGAAGGCGACCCGCGGGCACCGAGGATAACGGTCCCGTTTCAGCCCTCCCGACCCCTCCTCAGGCCGCACTCACTCACCCTGCTCAGCACCCTAGGCCCTCACAGCGGCCCACAGGGGGTACTCCTGCTCCCGCGCCGCGGCCAGCGCCACCCAAGCTCTGCAAGGTACGCGACCCTACGAGCCGGGCCCCGCCCACGCACCCATGCGTCACCCACTGGGCGGGGCATCGCCGTCCGGCTGCGCACGCGCAGTACACACGTCGCAACCCAGCTGCGCAGGCACAGATCTGTTCGGGATCACAGGCTTGGGGTCTTCGGATTTGATTAGCCTGAAACTCTTGGAGCTGTTTTTTTTGCCCGGCCTACCTCATAGCCTTGACTAACTGATGGAGGATCCCTGGGTCCTTACACATCTAAATTCTCGTTTTATTCCCAAGTGGCGATGTTACAAAAAATGAAGCCATACAGAGTGGGCAGTGTGATAAATCTCCCGCACTCTTGACCCCATTTTCTCATGGCTTCCTAGAAGCTGCCCAGGCTGCCAGCTTCTGGCTCCGTTGGTCCTAGAAGGACCTGCCTGGTGGGGGCTACTCACGTGTTCCCCAAGCTGGCGCCCTTTCCTAGGACACCCTCTTACTTGGGGTGCCACATGACCAGCCAAAAAGGTGTACACTCATGTGACCACGTCTGAGCAATGAGGCGTGGGTGTGTTGGGCATGGCGGGAGTACCTCTTCATCTGCAGAGCCCTGGGATGGCATGGCCTTGGTGGGTTTCAGAATCGCAGCGGGGTTACATGCTGTGCTCTAGACAGGGCTTTCTAGAAGTGATGGTAACCCTATGGGATGTAGGGACACACTGTAGCGTGTGTGTGTGTGTGTGTGTGTGTGTGTGTGTGTCCTGAGCCACCCCTCCCTGTAGGCACCTGTGGATGAACCCTAAAGTTTCCCAGGTGTTATTTGCTTTTATGGTGCTATATAATGCTTCAGGATCCACGCACACCTGTGGGTAGATTTATTCTTGACAGTGTAACTGGCTATGGTAAAGGATATGCTTTTTTTTTTTTTTTAACAGGATCTTGCTATGTAGTCCAGGCTGTCATTGAACTCACTATATATCCCAGTGGAGATCCTTCTGCCTCAGTCTCCTAAATGCTGGGATGGCATGGCCACTGTGCCTGGCCAGGATATACTCTTTTAAAACATCCTGCACAGGGCTGGGGATTTTCCACCACCTGCCATGCAAGTGCAAACACCTGAATTCAATCCCCAGTACCTGAATAAATAAATTACATCCTGCACAGATGTGTCTAAACTGTCCCTGGTGATTCTTCTGACTCACTCTCTTGCAGACACAGTGTAGGAGGTTGGCTTCCCCAGATTCCCCCGGTTCTTTGGAAGATTCTTGCCAGTCCAACACTTGCAAGGCTACATCTAAGTTTTAGTTTACAGATTTTCTAGCATCTTGAAATCCCTGTTCATGGAATAGTACCAGTCCAGCTTTTCCCTAGCTCACTTACCACTTCTTCATTGATTGTCACTGTTTCATTCTACAGGTTCTAGGTGAGATTCATGGCTTGGAAAGCTTTTCCATCAGATCTTAGTAGAATCCTTCTTATTCCTAAAGACTCGGCTCACCTATCACCTGTTCAGCCACTTCATGTATAATAGCCTTTCCAGAAATTTTCGGTTGTTCTCTATGCTTTTCCTTCATAGTACCTCTCACACTTGATGACTTGCTTATGGGTACATTCTGTTTCCCTGCTGAAATGCAAGTTCCTGGCACTCTGGCCCATGGTGCCTGCATCCCTTATCCCACCTGTGACTGTAGCTCTCCAGTTGTGGTGGAGACCTCTGTGCTGCCTCAGAACAACTTTGTATGGCCACTCCAGGGCTCACATCAGGACTTCCTCTAGAGCCTCAAGGGAGTGTCCCTTCCCCATAAAAGCTGGGGTAGACCTCTCTGGGTTGCAGTGGAACAACACTTCGTCATTTGTCATTCTAGAAAATAACTGGAAGGTGCTGGGATGCAACATCTGGAGTCAGGTCTGGTCAGGACAGCCTGGGCTATGTTTCCAGCCTTCCTTATCTAGAAACAGGATGTTCTTCAGTACTTCTGCCTAGTGACTCAGTGTCCCCAGAGTGTAAAACCCGGGCAGGATGCCTTCCATTGTCCCCCATCAGCAGTGTAAATAGGAAATCCACAGCTGAGACACCATCTGCCCCAGGGGCTTCCTGAGCCTCTGGGTGCTAGGGGACAACATCTCCCAGGCCTCTGCCATCTCTTGCTGTCTAGCTATAAGCAAATCTGCTTTGCATAGAGTGTTGTTCTGTCTCCCCAGACTCAGACAAATTTGTAACCTATGCAGAGTGAACCTACTTCACAGCAGCCCTTAGCCAGGAGGAGATAAATGCCTCACACTTCCCAGAGGCAGGTAGGATTTGTGTTGGGTCAATGCGATTGTTTTCTTTTCTTCCTGGATCCTTTCCTTCCTTCTCAAACCTGCTGCTGAGGAATCACCTCCCAAATAAACCATCTGCTTCTAAGCTCTTGTCTCAGACTAACTTTGAGGGAACCCAAATTAAGATAATATTCAAAGTATTTCTGAAGGAATGAGTGGATGGATTATAGTTAATCTGAGGCTTTCATTTGTCAGCAAGAGGAAGCAGCTCAGCTTGGCAGTAGGTGGTGGGATGGTCAACACCTGCACTAGGATGCAGGAGACAGGATGGATGATAGACGCTGGGCAACAGCAGAAACATGGGACAGCACGGAAGTATGACTGGCCCTGCTTTTGAGGACTAAGAAAGTTTGCAAAAAGTAAATGAATTTCAAAGCTGCCTTAATTACCCAGTGTGACCAAGAGTGGAGGAAGCCCATCTGCTCACACCAATGCAAGAAGGTAGCTGCAAATCTGTCTGCCAAGTGAGATAGGATCACATGGGCCTTGGGACACCCTTAATGGCTGGAACTGCTAAACCCCAGGGCTATCTTTTGGCCAGAAAATGTCCAACAACAGAAGTGTTAGGCAATAATCCTAGAAGCAGCCTTCATCCAGTGACAGGAGCAGAGACCCTAGCCTTTTCTCCTCCAACAACACAGTCCTTTGGCACATCCACACTGGGAATGGAGTCTCTGTATGCAACCGCGTATTGACTTTTTCTCCTTTTCTCTGCTGTTGTTAATTGGGATCACCCCTCAGATAAGCTTATGCCCAAGTGGTTTCTCCATATTTGTTTTTTGGGGAGGCTACTTGATATAAGGTATCCATCATTCAGGTGGTTTTGATGGTAAACTAAGTAAAACATCTTAGCTGCCTCTGTTATTTCTTTCTCTGGTTTCTGAAGTCCCTAATTAGAAACTACTGTCTCTCCAGACAAATCTGTTCTTTTTGCCTCTGGAAGCCTCTTTGTGCATGGCTACCTTTCCATTTTCCAAAGTCTAGCACACACATGAAGAATGGGAGGGAAAACTTGTGCTTGTGTTCTTTATTATTCAACCCGCCACATTGTCCATTATGTGGTTGTGTAAAGCGCTGATGGATGGTCTGGTGAGATCACTTTGTGCTGTGATGATAACTGGGTTGAGATAGGAAGTGCAGTTGTAGAACAAGTGCTTCATGAAGTATTCAAGTCAGTAGGGCAGTGTGAATAAATTGTCCTGATCATCTGCCAAGTCTTCTCTCCCTGGAGGTCTTTGACATTAAGTATGATGCTGCTGTAGATTAAGAAAAAAAAATATTTTTTTTAGTTTAAGTTTCTTTTCCCCAGTTTTTTGAGACAGGGTCTCACTATGTAGTTGAGAATGGCCTGGAACTCACTGTGTAGCCCAGGCTGGTCTCGAACTCACAGCGATCCCCCTGCCTCAGCCTCCTGAGTGCTGGGATTACAGGCGTGCACCACCACCCGTCTAAATTTGTTTTTATGTCACTAATGAATGTTGAATTTTATTTTGTGCATTTCATCTGTTGAGATAATCATATACTTTGCTCCATTCCAATGTTGAATTACTTATACTCTTGATACAAAGCATGCATTTTCTTTATACAATGCCAGATTTGGTTTTCAAATGTTGGGTTTAGGCAATTTGCTGATTTGCTTACTTTGCTCTTCTCCTCCAGTGGTGCTAGGGATTGAACCTATGTATGTTAGGCAAGCACTCTACTACTGAACTACATCCCCAGCCCTTTTCACTTTTTTTTTTTTTTTT